ATAAGTTCCATTTCACTTGAGAGGTGTACTTCTTGTGATTTGGAAGAGTAATTTGAATTTCAACAATAACTTGCAAATAAACTTCATTTTTTAATTCTTTTTTTTTTCTTCTAAATAAATTGTTATCCTTATGACTGTTGTTAACTACTGTCATTTCTATATATTTGAAATTCACTTATACTTATGAAAATTTTAATGTAACCTAATTGTCTCTTGTTATTTTTCATTCAGCAAGTGGGGCTAAAGTTTTGTCTTTAATTTTCTTTGGTTGTAACTGAATTATCTATTCTTTGAATTAAAAAAAAAATAAATGGTTTCTCAATAATCCAACTATTTTAATATCTTAAATGTTTTATGTTTCATATCTTTGTTCAAAATTATTATCTCTATATCAATACAAAATAAATTCAAATGAAATTTTAATTACTTTTTGATTAAATGGAAGTAAATGGATAATAAAGATTATTTTATTAATAGAACAAAAATAAACTCATTTGTTTAACTACAGAATTTCTTCTTAGTCTATACTCAATAACAGTATCTAATAATATGAAGAAATAACTATTTACTATATAACTCTATTGCAGTAATAATAAATTTAAAACAAATAAATAGAATATAGAATAATAAGTCTATTTAATTTAAAAAATAAGCTATACCTTCTTCATGTTATTATTATCATCGACAATTCATTAATAATACTTAAACGTTAAACAAAAAGGATATATATATATATATATATTTATGAGTTATTTAATAATAAATTGAACCCACATTCTATAAATATGATAATAAAAATTAATTATCATTATTAATAGAAGTTGATGAAAAAAAGTTCTCTAGATATCTACTTGGAAAATAGTTTGTATAATGAAATATATTAATGGAGTATTATTACTGGTTCACAATAATATAACTTTCACTCTCTTTATTATACAAACCTAATTAGAATATTCTTAACATTTAAAGAGGGTTCTTCATTTTTTAAATCATTTATCTTTTGGATCAACAAAAGAAATAATTAAATAAGGAGTTATTTGAAGTTAAGAAGACTCTGTTATGAATAACAGTCATTATTTAAATGTAATAATAAATAAAACACAAAGAAATAAATACAACTAAAAAAGAACTTAAAAATCAATCTGTGTTACGATGAATGTAAAACTTATTGTAATAATTGTTTTATTATGCATAGCTTTTATTACCTCTTTAATCACAGGAATGTTATTCGGACTAATTATAGGAGTATGTACATTTTTGTCATTTGGAATATCAATAAGTATTTTATATCCATTTTGTTCAACTTTCTTGAACAATGTAATTAACCCACGACCACCGAAACATCAACACTAATTTATTACTTAATTAGATTTAAATTTTATATTTCTTAAATAAGACTCAAATGAAAGAAAAGGTTGTAATCAATAATTCAAAAATTATCCATCTTGTCCAAACTGTTCAGCCCATTCACGATGTCTATTAACGTCCTCTATAGAAATACTTGATCGTGAGTTTTTGATTGATTTCATAAAATCCATCATTGTTACTGGTGGAACAACTAATTTACTTCCTTCAATTTGTTTCCAATTCATTTCCATAGCACCTTTATCTCCAGGACTACATGGTGTAACTAAATCATTTTGTATTTCTCCAGTAATTGGAGATGGTCCAGTTACATATTTAAAGTGAGTTGCAGCTTGTAATGTACGTACAGGTTGATAAATAGCATCTTTACAAAGAGTAGCAATATCACTTCCAGAATATAAATCAGTTTGTTCTCCAAGTATTTTAAAGTCGTTGTCAGTTAATTGATTTGGTAATTTACCTAAATTCCATTTAATCATTTTAGCACGTGCTGATGCATCTGGAAGCCCAATATAAATTCTTTTTTCAAAACGTCTTCTAATAGCAGTATCTAATTGCCATGGAATATTTGTTGCTCCAAGCATTAATACTCCTTCCATAGAATTACCTACACCATTCATTTGAACTAAGAATTCAGTTTTAACACGTCTACTTGCTTCAGTCTCTCCATCTCCACGAGAACTACATAAAGAATCAACTTCGTCAACAAATATAATACTTGGTTTATTTTTTCTAGCTGTTTCAAATAATTCTTTAACCATTTTTTCTGATTCACCCAAATATTTACTAAGTAATGATGATGCAGAAACAGAATAAAATGTAGAGTCAGCTTCAGTAGCTACTGCTTTGGCTAAAAATGATTTACCTGTACCAGGTGGTCCAAATAATAAAATTCCAGTCCATGGTTTTCTTTTATCAGTAAATAATTGTGGGAATTTAATAGGTAAAATAACTGCTTCTTGTAAGGCTTCTTTTGCTTTTTCTAAACCAATAACATCTTCCCAATGTACATTTGGTTTTTCTTTTAATACAGCATTACCAACAGCGTCACTACGAGCTTTATTTTCTGCGTCTTCTTCTTTATCTGGGTCATCTGATTTAACTCTTTCTCCACTTATTATTCTTTTTAAATATTCTGCCCGTTCGACATATTCTTTCACTCGTTTATTAATGATATTAACAACTTTTTCATTTTTTTCAGTTTTTTTATGTGCAACTAAACAATCAATAGCCTTCTTATAATACTCTAAGGCTTCTTTAGAATTACCTTTTTCATCTTCCTCCATTGCTTTCTTAGAAAATTCCTTTCCTTTATCGAGTAACGATGTCATGTCAAAATTCTTTTCGTTTAACAGATCCGTTTCAATTTTCTAGTTTTTCTGTTCTTTCTCTAATTCCTCACCTTTTCATTTAAACATCAAAAAAAAACATTTCAATCTTAAAATCAGAAACTGTTATTTAAAACAAATTCTTTTCTATAGTTTCATCTATCTTACCATATCCTTCTGTGAATACATTATTCACAACTACTGCATCTGCTTCTTTTTCTCCTTCCATTTCAATAAGTGCATTCTTTAAACGAACTTGAACTTGTTCTTCTGTCTCTGTACCTCTTAAACGTAAACGTTGTTCTAAAATTTCCATTGAAGGAGGTGCAATAAATAAAAAGAATGCTGCAACTTTACCTCTGATTTGTCTGCTACCTTGAAGGTCAATATCAAGAATTGCAATTTGATTGTTCTTAGCAATGCGTTCAATTTCCATTTTTGATGTACCGTAGAAGGCTGTATGAACATGAGCGTGTTCAATAAATTTATTTTCTTCAATCATTTTCTTCATTTCTTCTTCTTCGATGAAGTAATAATCAACTCCATTTTGTTCTTTACCTCTTGGTTTTCTTGTTGTATGTGAAATACTAAATGAAAATTTCCCTGGATATTTTTCCATAAGGTGGTGCATTATTGTTGATTTACCTGCTCCACTAGGACCAAAAAGAACAAGAACCTGATATTTGCCCATTTTCTATTTTCTTTTTATTAATTTTATTCTTTTTTCAGTTCCTTTTTTTTTAAAATATTATTATTGTGTTATTTATTTATTTTTTTTGTAATTTTCCAGTAGTAATTTCGATTAATGGGTTAATAAATTTTGAAAGTGTTAAAATAATTAAAGAATTAAAAATCAAAATAGACATCACTAAAGAAATCAAAAACCTTGTAATTAAAAACATGATGGACGTCATGGAACACTGTGGAGACCACAACCAAACATATGTAGTAGAACTACATGACGAAGACTCAGGGACGGGATTAGTCTCCCCTGAGCCAGGAACAATAGACACAAGTTCTATTAATACTTAATTAACTCATTATTATTTTTTTTTGTAATTTTATTTTATTGTAAAGGTATGAATGGTAT